GGCGGACACAGCCTGCTGCGCATATGCTTTGCTCACAGCCTGAGGATTGGGGGCACAGAGAGCTGCAGGTTCACAAATCCCTTAAGAGCCTGCTGCGGAGCAGCTGGGCAGCCGGCGCTGAGCAGCCTGGGCATCTCAGGAAAGCGGTTTCCCTTTCGGAGGGAAGGCTTGGTGTCCCTCAGCCATCAGAATAAAGCCATGTGTCACAGCCCCTCGGCTGAAGTACTCTGAGCTGCAGGTTTCCAAAGCTGCTGTGCAGTGCTCTCGCCATTTGCCGGCTCTGTTTGGCTCCCAGTACTGTGGAGCACTTACCCAGCGGCACAGCCAGCAGGTTAAAACCAGCACTGCCCCTGCCTGGCCTGCGTCCCTCACTCCCCCATAAAATCCTGTTTGCTTTCCAGACGGAGAGCACGAGAGCACGAGACTTGCTGGGACCTGTGCTGACTCTTGCCACACAAGATGACAGCGAGAGACGGGCCCCAAGATAGGTAATGCCGGGCTCTGGTGTAGGTGTGGGGGCACATCCAGGATACCAGGAGGTGAGGGAGGACAGGGGGACCCAGCATCTGGTGGACCCCCTCTCCTGCATGGTCACTGGGCTACCGAGCTGTCCCTTCCCTGAGATGCCCTCTGCGTAAGCTTTTCCATAGCAAACGGGCTGTAAACAGCCCGCAGCGCTGGGACACACCTGGGGAGTGTGACTCCCTCCCAGCTCTGGCAACAGCTGCTGTGCGTCTGGGTGCCACATGCTGAGGAGCAGCCAGCCTCCCCCCCACCTTCGTACCCTCCCGCGGAGGGCCTCCCACGGCCCCTCTGCGGTGCCACATCTTTTCCAGCAGCCCAGGCTAGCAGGGGCTGTGGGGCAGGGGCAGGGACAGGGCAACAAATTTCATCCTCCCTCCTCCTGGTGCCTCCCGCTGCGGGGTTGGGGACAGTCAGAAGCGATGCCTGTCCCCTGCCCTGCCCAACATCCCGCTCCAAACTGCTCTGTCTCCTCCGCAGGTACAAGGCTGTCTGGCTGATCTTCTTCATCCTTGGCCTGGGAACGCTGCTGCCATGGAATTTCTTCATGACCGCCAGGAAGGTGAGGGCTTCCCTCCCGCTGCTGCCCATGACACGTCCCCCTGATGTCCCCTGTCACGTGTAGGGACCGTGGTGTAGGTGTGGCAGCACGGCACAGCATAGAGCCCCCATGCAGGAGACAGAAGTGTGGGTGACCTGGGTGGGACGAGTGGCGCTGAGGCGGCAGGAGGGCTGGGCATGGGGCCAGAGGGGGGACAAGGGTGGCCTGAGTGTGCTGGGGGGAGGTCTTGCGGCACCTTGGCCCCACCAGGCTCCTTCCCTCGCAGTATTTCATCAGCCGCCTTGCGGACCCAGAGATGAGCCGCTTCTGGAACCAGACCAGTGAGGCTGCCTTGTCCCCCTCCTACCTGCAGTCCATGTTTGACAACTTCATGACTCTCTGCGCCATGGTGCCCCTCCTCATCTTCACCTGCCTCAACTCCTTCATCCACCAGCGGTGAGCCTTGTCCTGTCCTTGCCCCTGCCAGCCCCCATAGGGCTGCCCAGCCCTGGCCCATCCTGCTGCCCCAGTACTGAGCCAAGCCGCAGCCTGTTCAGTCAAGTCAAAGGCAAAACACTGGTCTCCTGTGCTGGGGTTTGGCTGGGATGCTCATGGGAGAGCTTGGCCCCAGCCTCACAGGCTTTTGGGGGGTGGGTTTTCCTCACTGAGACCCTCTCTTGCAGGATTCCCCAGCAGATCCGGATCTTGGGCAGCCTGGTGGCCATTGGGCTGGTGTTCTTAGTCACTGCGATCATGGTGAAGGTCGCCATGGAGCCTCTTCCCTTCTTCGTCTTTACCATGATCAGCATCGTCTTCATCAACTGTGAGTGAGGCAGCAGGGGGAAGGAGAGGAGCACAGCCCCATGGCTAGGGCTCATCTCTCTGGGAGAAAAGCATGAACTTCACTGTGGGAGAGCCAAGGAGGAGGGGAACCTGCCTTGCCTCGCAGGGTGGGGGCCTTGGCTCCCCACAGAGGTACAGTCCATCCTTGCCTTTGGTTTCTCATTTCTGCTCATCTTTCCCCTTCGCAGCCTTCGGCGCCATCCTCCAGAGCAGCCTCTTTGGGCTGGCAGGGCTCCTGCCTGCCAGCTACACAGCTCCCATCATGAGCGGACAGGGCTTGGCAGGCACCTTTGCTGCTTTGGCGATGATCTTCAGTATTGCCAGTGAGTAATCCCTTCCCTGAGGGTGACAGAGCACTGCTGTCAACAGGATCTGCTGGGGTCATGCTGTAGGGTTGGATGGGACATGGCAGCAGGGCCTCGCTCCTCTCAGCCCTCATCATCTTCTTCCTTTTTCCCCCCGTCTCCTCCCTTCCTGTGCTCCCAGTTGGCGCCCAGCAACCTGAGAGCTTCATTGGTTACTTCACCACGGCCTGTGTGGCGATCGTGCTGGCAATCTTCTCCTACATCCTTCTGCCTCGCATGGTGAGACTTTGTTGTTGTGGCGGGGAAGGGTGTGGGGACATAGGACCTTCACGCATCACAGCACAAGGACCATGGCCCACTAGCACCCCAGCCTTGGCTCCTACCAGCCTCTACCTCCTGGGTCAGGGCAAGCTCTCCCCTGTCCTGAGGGAGCTCTCTGGGATACTTCCCACCTCGGATACCCCAGTACCCTTGGGGTACTGTGGAAATGAACCCCTGGGTGAGCTGGAAAGGATCAGTATCGGACATAAGTCGAAGGAATACTTTGCCCATATTGCATTTGCCCATATCTGCTATTACCACACAGCCCCTGGCAGCCTTCTTTCCTCACGCATGAGTGAGTTCTCCGTGGCTGTCTCTTTACAGGATTTCTTCCGATACTACTTCATGAAGGACAAGACAGAGTACCGTGTGTACAATGCAGAGCTGGAGACCAAGAGAGACCTGATTAAGAAAGGTGAGGGGCTGAGAGGAGGAAGAGGAAGGAAAAAGAGGAAGAGCTGAGAGGAAGAATGAGACAGAAAGACTAAATTAGATCTCAGCTTTCTGGGGTCTGCTATGCCTTACTTGTGTCTCTCCCTGCAGACGAGCCCAATGGGATGGAGCAGAATAACTCAAAGATCATCCCTATCCACAACCCTCACGAGAAGCCCTCGGTCGTTGCTATTTTTAAGAAGGTCTGTGAGTTGCCAGCAACCTCTGCCCTGCCCTTCATATCAGGGGATGGGCACAGGTGTAGGAGAGCATGGGGAGAGGAGACCAGCCCTGCACTGGTCTCTTGCCCTGTGTTTGGTACCAGCCTCTTTCTTTCATCTGCCTAGCTCTGGGTCATGGCTGTGTCTGTCTGCTTCGTCTTCACTGTCACCATCGGCGTCTTTCCTTCCGTCACAGCTAAGGTGTCCACTGTCCTCGGAGAGGGAAACAGATGGGGTAAGTGTGGCCAGGGATGGGGTGGGGTAGGAGGAAACTGGGAACAAGGTAAATGGAAGAAAAGAAAGTGGGGCTTGAAGTAGTAGGTATGCCTGAGGGGAAGAGGAAACCACTGTGCACGATGGTTTGGATGTGGACACTGGCCTGGCTGGGAGACCATTCCAGCCCTTAGTGGGAAACCAGGAAGACCTAGACCTGAAAGACAGTCTCTGAGCAGCTGGCAGGAGGGCCTGGGGCACCCTGAGCTCATCAGTGACCTTTTCCCCCTTCTGCAGGTCTCTACTTCATCCCTGTCTCCTGCTTCCTGCTCTTTAATGTCTTCGACTGGACAGGACGGAGTCTCACTGCCCTCTTCACATGGGTAAGCATGGGGAAGGGAGCAAAAGCCCACGCAGGCTCCATCCCCAGGCCCCTTGGCCATGGCTCTCACAGGGGCTGCCATCCATGGCTTGGAGCAGGAAGGAGGTGCAGAGCTGACTCCTGCCTTGGCTTTAAGTCCTAAGCAGAGATTTATGGGTCAGAGCCGAGAACCACAGCGTTGTCCTGTCTTCCTCCCACCCCTCTTTCAGCATGGCTTGGATGAAGCTGCCTCCTCCACTTCAGCCTCTTTGTAAACAAACCTTCACTCCAGATATGCAAACAGCCAGGCAGGACAGCGGCAGCAAATGAGGGTGAAAGGCAGGGCAGCCCAAAATAAAACCTCTGGCCTCCGCACAGGACACAGCTGCTCTTTAAGAGTCTTGTCTTGGGAGCAGGGCAGAGTCATGCCACGTGGGTCACAGAGCTGTCCCCTGCCGCATCCCCTTGCTCTCATCTCCTCTGCCTGGCTCAGAGCTGCTGGGGCTGAGTGATGGGAACTGTGATGGGGGTGGGTGAGGAAGGGGACTGTCCCATCTGTCTCTCTTCCTGCCCCTTCACCCACCCCCCAAACGCCATTTCCCCCTGTATTGTTTAGGCTCTTTGTTTAGACAAGCTCCTCAGCACCATGTGCTGTGGGGTCTGTCCAGGCCTGGCTTCCCTGCAGCCTGGAGCTGCTTCTCCCCTGGCTGTCACTGCTGGCTGCCCTCGGCCTTGGCCATGAGCCGCGTTGCCTGGTGTCCAGGCCACAGCCTCCGTGGTGGGATGACCCAGCAGGAGACGTTTCCAAAACAAGGCTGTGTGGAAAGTCTGACAGCGTGTGGTTTGGGCCTCATTTCCCTGGTTGGGGCCCCGCTTGCTCCTTTTCTCCTCCTCAAGCAGGAGAGGCTGCTGCTCTTGCCAGTTTGCCCACTGACACAGCAGCTGGCCTAACCTCAGCTTCCCCCTGTGCTCATGAAGTATTCTGTGGCTACGCCAGCCCAGGCAGCTCCCAAGGCAGCTGTGGGTCTCTCCTGACCCTAGATCAGTGAGCCCTGTCATCTGCGACCCTGGCAGCCCACTGAAGGGACCCCAGACGGAGCCAGGCACGTCTCGTACCAGGGGCTGCCTTGGTCCCAGCTGCAGGGACAACACAGGGGGACGGTGCCTCCTTCTTCGCCCCAGCCACACGTGTCCAGGGACTCTGTTAGGACCCGAGGAGACCGTAACTCGGTCTGAGCCTTTCCTAGCACTGTCCGAAACAGCCCCAGCATAATCCCTTTCCCAGATTGCTGGATCTCACCCCGCTTGGCTGGGAGATGGCGTAGGAGGCTGAAGAGCTGGTTAAAGCCCAGTTTGCAGGCCCTGAGGTGCCAGAGGGGATTTACCTCAGCCAGCCTTGTCCTGCACGGTGGTTCGCTGCAGGAGGAGATTGCGTGAGCGTGCACAAGGCTTTCCTGCCTACCTGCCGGCCTGCCTGTTTTTTCCAGCAAGGCCTTAGCAATCGCTCGCAAGCCCAGCTCAGTATTTTGGACCTAGTGTTGCTGCTCTCCAAGTCGGCTAGGATAGGATTTTCAGACCTAGTAGGACCTCCTTACCACAGCAGGTGGTGATGCTGAGATCTGTTGCAGCAGCAGAAGTCTCTCAGCAACTTCGCCATCTCTGTGTCTCCTCCGCAGCCCCCGCGCAGTAGGGACAGCCTCTGTATAGCCCCTGCTGGCATGCCATGGGATGGGGAATGTCCACTTCTCAGCTGCTCAGTGACCTGTGTTTTTCTCCCAGCCCGGGAAGGACAGCTGCCTCCTGCCAGTGATGGTGGCCCTCCGTGTCATCTTTATCCCTCTTTTCATGCTGTGCAACGTGCAACCCCGTGACTACCTGCCTGTCGTATTCTCTCATGACGCCTGGTACATCATCTTCATGATCTTCTTCTCCATCTCCAACGGCTACCTGGCCAGCCTTTGCATGTGCTTTGGGCCCAAGTGAGTAAGAGCTGGGGACAGGGGAAGGGTTGGTTACACCCCCAGATGCCAGCCCCAGCATGACTCCTGGAGTCTGGCTCTGCCCAGCTTTGGCATCCGGAGAAGGGGATGCAGGCGCAGAGGGGAATCGCCACACCGCCTCAGGAAAGACAACTCTAGTGTCCCATCTCCCAGCCTTGTGCCTCTATATCCTAGCGATGAGGAAGCTATTGTTTGGGCTCTCCGTTTCCCCCACCTGCCACGCTGGGGAAGGGGCCGGACGCAGTGGGGATCTGGAGGGGAGCAAAGCAGGGCACAGCACCCACAACAGGGTGAGCAGTCTTGCCCAGCGCAGGAGCACAGGCAGCACGAGGAGCCCAGCTGGGGCTCAGCCAGGCGGGCTGCACTGCATGGGGACAGGAGTCGGGGAGAGGTGTCCCTGGCATCGGGAGCTTCAGGGCAGCCTGCCTGATGTACTTTTTCTTTCTTTACGAGCCCGTAATGTGGAGGCAGGCTCCTGGAGCCAAGGTGGATTTGCTCTTGCTGTTCCTCTGCTGCAGAGGAGCACAGCTTCTGGCTCCTCTGTGGCCTCCTCCCATCTCTCCGTTGAACTCACAGCAGGACATGGGGTACAAATCCCCGAGGACAGGTCAGACACCTGTTTCTCCCCTAGGAAAGTGCTTGCCCACGAAGCAGAGACAGCTGGAGCCGTCATGGCCTTTTTCCTGTCGCTGGGCTTGGCCCTAGGAGCTGCCGTCTCCTTTCTGTTCCGAATTCTCATCTAGCAGAGGCACCTGGAGGGTGCAGGGACACCGAGAGACGGCTCCACATCCTCCTCTGAGGCCCTGGACACCTTGGCGCCGTGGGGAGATAACACCTCATGCCTGCCCCTGCCAAATCGCACTTCCACGGCAGACGTTACGCCCAGGGACGGTTCCACTCCTGCAGGGTTGGCTTGGCTCCTGCCACGCTCGGCTGTGTGATGCCTTCAGGCCTACGTGCCTTCTCCTTCCCCATGCTGTGTGTATGTAAGACCCCTGGGATCTCACAGAGGTCCAGCCGCCTACCACGCTGCGTAATTTCCCCAGCTCAAGGCCAAAAGCCATTCTCAGCCTCCTCCTCTCTGACAGAGTTGAAGGCTGGTATCCAGTGTTATTCCCTCTCTTGCCCTTGTCCCCAAGGTGCCTAGGGACTTGCTTTCCTCTCCTGTCCTCTCCTTCCGGGGGCCTGGAAAACATCTCACACCACTTCTCCTGCTGGCAATAATTGCAAAACGGGAGGAGAGCCCCAGCCAGCCTCACCATGCCCTCTCTCTGCTAGGCACACATCCCCCTGCCCAGCAGCATCCCAGGGACATAGACATCTGTGTTCCACCCACATAAAGAGCCAACACCGTGGCTAGGCTGAGGGAGGAGGAGGTCTCCACACCCCACCTTGTCCCCCTCTCCTTGCCTTTGTTCCCTACTTTTTTTTTTTTTGGTGATTCTGCCATTGTTTTCTTTCTGCCTCCTGGTTATGTGACAGGAGGTCCCACCATGGGCTGCAAGAGAGGCGGCAACTCCCTTCCGACCCAGGCTGCCTTCCCTGCCCGCCTGTGCTGCAGGGGGAGGCCTGACCTCTCCCTTGGCTTTCCCATCCCTCATCTGTGTAAATGTGTCTGTATAGTTGCCGTTTTCTATAAAAAGAGCGAAACACCCGTTTGGGTATGTGTGTGTCTCCATCACCACAGGGGGAGAGGGCTGCGGAGGGGCAAGGGCTGAAGGGAGTGGGCACCGGCATTTCCTGGGTGGTCCCGGGGTCCCCTGTAGCCAGCATCAGGCGGTGAAGCGGTGTGCGCATCCCCTGCACAGACAGGCCCAGCGGCTCTCCGCTACGGGGACACGGGCAGCATCGGAAGGGGGTGCTGCCCTCGGGGTATGCCAAGGGACCACTGGCACCTCTGATGAGGGGATGCACCTGCACATTTTGGGGTGCAGTGACCTGCAGCACATGCACCTGGGAGTTTTCCTTGTGCCTGGGAACAGCCGGAGTGCCACCTCCTGCTCCTGGGGGGGAACTACACCACCCTGCCAGTGGGCCTCCACCCCACACACCACCCCTCTGCCCCACATCATTCACAGCCATCACCTCCTCGGCACCCCCAGGCACCAACAGCCAAAAGCTGTGGGGTCGGGGTCCCCTCATCCCACCCCAGCTTCCTTTGCCGGTCAGGCCTGCGTGCCCACAGCTCCAACAAGGATAAGGCATGAGGTTTATCTTATTGCCCTTAGACACTAAAAATACAGCGTATCCAAACACTGGTTTCCAACGGGGAAAACGGGCCTGCTTTGCTCTCAGACCCTGACACTATCCCTGCAGCCTGTCTCCAGAGCCCGTCCCCTCCATCTTGTCCCCTCCTCATCCGCAGGGCCTCCGGTTACACCCAGCCTCGAGACGGCAGAGCTACATGGCTCTCGGCCTCGGGGGGCGCCGCGGCGCGGAGCTGGGGCAGCGGGCACCCCCTGGGACTGCGCGGATCCCCGGTTCCCTGCCCAGGCCCGGAGCCTGCGGCGGAAGGGAACGGATGAAGCACCAACGGGGGCGCCGCCCGTGACCCCCGTGGAAACCTCTGGAAGCCAGCCTAGCACCACCGCCCACTCGCGACGGTGCTCCT